TTGAACATTCTTTCGTGCATTCATGTTTTGAAATAATGCGAACACAGTTGCACTTCAATATGGGAAAAATGCCGTCTTCGTACATGCTTAACTCAGAGATGCCCAAGCTGCGTGAAACTCTTTCCGAAGAGCTTCAATATGCTTCGCGTTTTTGGGGAATGCACTTGGCGGGTATCCAGAATAACGAGCATCACAAGAAAGACAATACAGTGGTAATTTTTGAATCAATTGAGGACTTTCTTGACCGCCACTTTTTGTACTGGGTGGAGGTAGTAAGCATCCTTGGCAACTTTGGAGAGGCTGAGAAGGCATTGTTAGCCCTAAAAGTGTCTGGACTTGGTGAGGTAGGTCATCCTGATCCGTCAGCGGTTCAACAGAAAATAATATTTCATTGTAGGGAATGAGTAATATTGCACAAGACGCATTAGCGTTTCTTCGCCAGTTTGCCTTCCCAATATCTTGGTCATACGCGCATATCTATGTCTCAGCGCTCCCATGGACACCTGCAAGGTCACTTATTCGAAAAAGATACATTGACACGATACCAAAAGCGTTAAAAATTATATCCAATGGAGACGAGACTTGGCCAGCGCATATGGCAACCATTCGAGGTCACAGCAACTCGATTAACTCTGTCACCTTCTCTCCAGACGGCTCTCAGATCGTCACAGGGTCCGCTGACAAAACAGTTCGCATTTGGGACGTTGCTACTCGCCAGTCTGTTGGTGAGCCCCTTCGAGGTCACAGCAGGTCTGTTCGGTCTGTTGCCTTCTCTCCTGATGGCTCTCAGATTGTCAGCGGGTCCATAGACAGTTCTGTTCGCATCTGGGATACTGCCTCTAGCCAGCCTGTTGGTGAACCACTTCAAGGTCACACCATGATGGTTAACTCTGTTATGTTCTCTCCTGACGGCTCACAAATTGTCAGCGGGTCCGCGGACGGCACTATTCGCATCTGGGACACCACTTCTCACCACCTTGTTGGTGAACCTGTTCGTATTCACATCAAGTCGGTTCGGTCTGTAGCATTCTCTCCCGACGGCTCTCAGATCGTCAGTGGATCCGATGACAACATTGTATACATATGTGACACCGTGACTCGCCAGCCTGTTGGTGAGCCTCTTCGAGGTCACAGCAAGTCAGTCCACTCTGTTGCTTTCTCTCCCGACGGCTCCCAGATTGTCAGCGGGTCTTTTGATAGTACTATCCGCATCTGGGACTCTGATACTCATCAGCCTGTTGGTGAGCCCCTTAGAGGCCACAGCAGGTCGGTTAATTCCGTTGCCTTCTCTTTTGACGGCTCTCAGATTGTCAGCGGGTCTGATGACAAAACAGTTCGCATTTGGAATGCTGCGACTCGCCAACCTGTTGGTGAGCCCCTTCGAGGTCACACCCACTCAGTTCAATCTGTCGCATTTTCTCCTGACGGCTGGCAAGTCGTCAGTGGGTCCAATGACAACGTTGTCTGCATATGGGATACCGCTGCTCCCCAACTTGTTAACGAGTCCTTTCCATGTCACAACAGTTCAGTTTTTTCTGTCGCCTTCTCTCCTGATGGCTCTCAGATTGTCAGCGGGTCTGATGACAAAACAGTTCGCATTTGGAATGCTGTAACTCGCCAGCCCGTTGGTGAGCCCCTTCGAGCTCACACCCACTCGGTTCAGTCTGTCGCATTCTCTCCTGATGGTTCTCAGATCGTCAGCGGGTCCAAAGATCATAATATTTGCATCTGGGATGCTACCGCTCGTCAGCTCGTTGGTGAACCCCTTCGTGGCCATACAGATTTTGTCAAATCTGTTGCATTCTCTCCTGACGGCTCTCAGATTGATAGCGGATCCACCGACTGGACAATTCGCACCTGGAACGCCGTGACTCATCAGCCTGTGGTGAGCCCCTTCAAGGTCACATCAAGGCGGTTCAGTCTGTCGCCTTCTCTCCTGATGGCTCTCAGATTGTCAGCGCGCACAATGGCAATACTGTTCGCATCTGGGATGCTATCACTCGCCAGCCTGTTGATGAATTCTTTAGTGGTCACAACGGTTCGGTTTATTCTGTTGCCTTCTCTCCTGATGGTTCTCAGATCGTCACCGGGTCCACTGATCGGACGATTCGCATCTGGAACGCCGCGACGCGCCGACTTGTCTGTGAGCCCCTTAGAGGTCACAGCAGGTCAGTTAACGGCGTTGCTTTTTCTCCAAGCGGCTCTCAGATTGTCAGCGGATCTGATGACAAAACTATTCGCGTCTGGGATGCTACTTCTCACCAGCCCATTGGTGAGCCCCTTCGAGGTCACAGTGGCCCAGTGTTTTCCATTGCGTTTTCTCCTGACGGCTCTCAGATTGTCAGTGGGTCTGATGACAACACCATTCGCGTCTGGGACATCACTACTCGCCAGTCTGTTGACGAGGCTCGCCATATTTTGGAGACTATTGTGTCCCCACATACCATCCATACATTGCCCTCGAATTATGTTCTTCTTGATGACGGCTGGGTGGTAGACCAGGAAGACTGCCGTGTTATGTGGATACCACACCATCTTCATGAGGTTTTGCCTACACCTAATCTGGTTGGCATTATTGGTTCTCGTAGAATGATTAAGATCGATATATCAGACATGCGGATCGGGACTGAGTGGGCCTCATGCATTGAAGTATTCAAGTTGTTTGTGCTATTGCTCAGGTCCTTGCTGATTATTCCTTCACAGGTCGGCAAATAAATATCCAGATTCCATTCTCGACCAATCTTAGTGCTCGTGGTTTTGTAATCACTACCTGGACAAATGAACGGCTCTCTGCTTCGAACCAATGTCTGATCCTGGATTTGCTTTTTAGGTTACAGTCGATAGCGAAACAAATAATGAGAGTTGGGTTCTTGGAAATTGTCGACTATTCGTCACATTAATTGGGGCTTTCTGGAAATATTTTATCGCGCTCATGTTATTTACGAGGCTCCAGATTTATTCCACCGTGTGTATCCGCTGGGCAGAGAAGGGCTAGAAGTTATTACATGCCCCTCAATATATGCATGAATATCCCGAAAGACTGATGATCGACTGGTAACTACATATCAAAAACACCAATATCGAGGCCAGGAGCAATATAAAGATGCAATGTTCATGAGAGTCGACCAGCGAGAATTCGTGTTCGCTTGGGTGAGTTTGTCTCTCGCATCCATGCTGGCTTGTGAGTGACTGTGTAGAGGCCTTCGAGTCCCGGAATTTAAGAGAGGGCCGAGGCTCAGTGGCAAGTTGGAGAATGCAGCCATTGAATTATGAGATGAAATGGGGGAAAGGTTGAGCGTCAAACGGGAATTCCACCTTGTCAGACCCACTCATGGCCGTCAACGTTTCTTACGCCGGCAAACCACCGGCATTCGCTAAAGGGTTTCCTATTGCCATTCCGGTTACTCCAGAAACTACAGTAGGCGGCGTCAAGTCCTCTATTGCTGCTGCCTTTCCAAAGGTCTGTCGCGTCAAACCGAGGTATACACTGAAACTCACATGCTCAAACCCACCTCAGTTCTACACCTCACGACAGAAGATTGCTCTTAATACGGATAAGAAAGCGCTTTCTGACGACACTAAAATATCAGCCCTCAATGGGGAGTTGACTGTCAAGGATTTAGGTCCTCAGGTAAGCTCATAATTTCAAGCTGGAATGCATGTGAAATGTTGACCAGGTCTCCTCTTGCAGATTGGCTGGAAAACTGTATTCTTAATTGAATATGTAGCTATAATCTCTCTGCTATTTGCCTTGGATATTGAACAACACGTCCTTTCTAGGCTGGCCCTCTCGTCGTCCACCCAATTTTCTACCACTTTTCTAAAACCATTTACGGCCAAGAGGTTCCGCATAGTGACCTTCAAAAGTACGTGTATTTCATGGCATTTTTGTTTTCTACGCCTCTGCTAACCTCTGTCGCCAGATTAATTTACGGTATGGTCATGGTCCACTTTGTCAAACGTGAATTGGAGACCATGTTGTATGTCCACTCACTTCTTCATTCTTCTGACTTGTTTTTTCTTATCTCCATTCTTAGCATTCATCGCTTTTCTCATGGCACGATGCCATTCTTTAACGTTTTTAAAAAGTTTGTTCCCTCATAAACTGTTCACAATCCCCACATCTCATACCCTTCTTTCCCCAGCTCCTTCCACTACCACGTCCTCTCTGGCCTATTCCTCGCAGCAGACATCTACCGACCTAAATTCAGTCTCACCTCAGACTACATCATTGGCACATACCGTGAAAACCCTCAAGTTCTTCAAATCGCAGCAGGTGTCTGGGTCGTACGTCCATTTCTTCTTCTCTCTCACTTTCTGATATCTCTATATACTCACGCATTGTTTTGTTTTTGTTTATAGTGGGCCCAACTCTCCAACTTCTGGACTCACTGGACACTTCGTAATCTTCGACCAGCTGGAACAACTAAACGGGCTATTCCATATGGATATGGATTCTCAGCACCTTTCAACGTTTCGTGTCCTAATTATCTGTTTGATATCATTGCATGGAGTGTTATAGCTGGATTGAGTGGAAGTTATGCTGGTGAGTTGTTTCTTTCTTTTTCCTTGATGCTACTTGGTATTCACATGGTTTTCACGTACAGCTGTGTTCTTCTTGACTGTGGCCATCGCGCAAATGATGGTTTGGGCCAAGAAAAAGCATTCGAATTATAAGAAAGAGTTTGGGAAGGAGTTCCCTAGAGGAAGGAAGATTCTGTTTCCGTTTGTATTTTGAGTAGGATTGAGAAATTAAAATGAGAATGTGACTTGCTCACCTTTTCTGTCCAACTTGATATCATGGACCGTGTGGCATGTTTCTATGTCATTTACTGTGCTTACAGCTTAGTTTCATAAGTCATTGGAACCCCAAAAAATTATTAATGGGGAAAGAGGACTTGGTGCTGTTTTTGGTGGTATCCCTTTTTTAAGGAGGAGTGGACTCCGCGGGAGGTATGTTCATCGTATAACGGGAACAAGATCAAAAAATGTTTTCCAATAGCCCCACGCGAGGGTCGAACTCGCAGCCTTCAGATAACATTAGTTGTTTTCAACGTATAAGAGTCTGACGCTCTATCCGATTGAGCTAGCAGGGCACTGCTGTTTAAAGGAATATATTTTTGCGTACAAATTTGAAACAGAGTCCACCACAAGCAACTTGTATTCTATTTGACATTCATGATCTAAATGTTGCATCCACAACTTTGGAAAGGCAAGTAAAAACCGTGCAAGATGCGAAAGGAACGCTATTCAACAATTAAGTCAGACCAGTGCAAACGCTCCCATCTCCAGCTCCAGGACCCTCGGAGATACAGAACTTTCTTACTTCTTTGTCTGCTCAAATTCATGCATCCCTTCTCCTTCTTGTGTATACCACGAATTCTGCTATTCAGGACCAACTTCAGACTGAAGAGAAGTTCAACAGGAATAAAGTGCATAACAAAGTCGTCACCACGTGAAGAAGACAATCGCTTTGAATTCCGCATTTATTACCATAGTTGCATGATACCTCAGAGGAACTTGGAAATTTAAGCTAGTACGAAACTGGCCCGCCAAAATGACCATGCAATCCGCTTACTTTATCCTCAGGAAGCATCAACGTCGTCACTGGCCCATTCTCGACCGTAATGCCTTCAATCTGGTCCTCTGTCTCCCACCATGTACCTTCGCTCCCACCACCACGAGAAGTCACCTTTGGAACAGGTTTGTTATATCCCACATGCTTTTCAACCTTGGTTCTGCAGACGACGCAACTATTACCTCCAAAAACAGCGGTACCAAAGCACTCTACGCAAGCAGGGTGGCCGCATGGTCGAGCTATACACGTCGACTTGCGTCCTGAATGATAGGCACAGTCTGGTGGCGATTCAGGATCGACCAGAACATCGTCTGAGGGAGCTGGAGCGTTATCTAGTTGTAGAACAGATTGGACGTTATTGAAATTCCCAGTTGGCTGAATCGTTGGAAGATGCTCGTCGTAGAGAGCAAACCAAGGATAGTTATGGGCCTTATATACTAGAAACCGAAACCGAAAATTGGAATCAATCAGTGAGAGCTGAAAGGGAGAGAAGGTTCAGCGTACAGGCTGGAGTAATTGGTGTCAAAGGACAGACGACACCCGTAATAACCTAAGCAACCCAAAATTGAGAAAACAAAAAAATGGGGGAAATATCATTAATGGACTGTACCTCCCATGCAGCAGTCGAGACGGTATGGATAAAAACTCGGGAAGGATCTTCGTCGTCATACATCAGAGGAGACTGAGTATCCTCGTAGATTTTCTGAGCAATTTTTCCTCCTGCGGCGATGCCCATTCTTGTATCAGGGAGTGAATCAAAACCTACAATAGATAAATGCCAAGTCATGAAGGAACTACAAGATGAGCCAACCGCCAGCCCTTAATCTCAAAACCATCTGTATAGTGCTCTCTTTTTGGATATTATAATCTGAAATGCACGGTGAATCATTCTGAGACTCTCTAGCATTACTCACGTACCGGATAATGTCCTGTCATCTTCGAGCTGCTTTCCAGCAAAAATCAACCTCTGTTGATCAGGTGGCATACCCACCGTATCTTGAACTCTCGCCTTGATATTGGCAATAGTGTCCGAACTTTCGACATCAAAAGCAACTGTCTCTCCTGTGAGAGTTTTGATGAAAATCTGCATGGCCCCCCGCAACCTAAGGACCAAATGAATGAGAGCTTTATTTTGAACTCCGTAATCTGAACTATATTATGACATTGCACTTGGGCCATTAGATATAGGTCACGTACCAGATAATTTCCTTCCATTTTCAAGTTGCTTCCCGTGAAAGATCAACTTTTGTACTTTAGGAGGGACGCCTGTTTGGTCTTGAACCAGAGATTTGACATGGTCAATAGTATCTGAGCTTTCGACGGCAAGAGGAATAGACTTTCCAGTGAGGGTGTAAGCGAAAATCTGCATAGATGGAACTGGTAGATTTTTACGATATGAAACGTTGAGTACGGGGTGTGATGTGGCGAAACGAACAAGATCGCGAAGAGTCTGGGGAGGAGACCATTTTCTATGGTCAAGTTAAGCTTGCTAATTAACATTGATCAACGAACAAGCCAAAATGGAGACGAACTTCGTTGATAATGTGATGATGTCGCCAAGCTTGATATTGAGATCACTCGGACTTTTGTCGAGGGCTAATTTAGATGCCCCATGGTGAAAAGTTACGGAGCCAGCGAGGGTCGGAAAAACGTCAATTTGAATCCCTCCGTGGGTGGTGTTGGAGAGTTGCTCTTCGATCGTATATCCGTGACCAAGTTTCATAGCGACGAACTGCAATAGGTCAAAAGACGAACAAACCAATGCATCTGCATGGAACAGCCTCACTTGTCGAACCACACCAGGCTCTGTAGCTATACCATCGATCCAAGGCTGCTTTTCTCCAACTAAATAGTCTTGCACCCCCTTTGGAGCAACTTCGTTTTGCTTACCACCAGTAATCGCATTGATTCCTAATATGAACTATGATTAGTTGTACATACTACTAAACAGAAAACCTTGAAACGAACCGCCAACGGAAATTTTGATTGCACATGCAGCTGTAGATAGTCACAGTCTGGCGATGTCTAATGACAAACGTATCGGCCATACCTCCATATATACTAATCCACATGGCTTCTCGTTGAAATAAAGGCTAGGAAATTGGTTTCCAGATGCAGGAGCTGATATACAGAAGCAGTCACCATTATGTATCCTCCACGCTGAGCAAGGTAGTCGGGTAGCGAGTTTGAGCAATCTTGTGCCTTCGCCAATGGAAATGTTCCCAAGCACTATACAATATGATTACATGTCAGCATGGAAGGCAGGCATTGGAAATGTATACTGCAGGGAGGGCATAGCTGGTTGCATCATCGGGCACCCGAAGCGTTCGGTGGAATTTGAAGGTTGCTGCTCCAATACTGATCGATGAATCTTTCCATGTCACCATAGAGTCATTTTTATGTGCATTGAAATCTCGCGAAGAGATCTTGGAGTCGCACGATTTTGTGTTAGGTGCAAGGCCATGATAACGGCGATATGCTTTAAACCAGGATACAAGGGGTTCGTTACTACGTAGAGCGAGCAATTAGGATGGAAAAATATTCGTGGAAAACGACACAAACACATTGATTTTTAGCCCACCAGAAGTCGATGGATTGTAGTTGGACGGCCCATCCGTGACAATGGGCGCAATCTTGTTTGCTGGTGATACGTTATACTTCTCTATGTTGAACTTAGTTCAAGCTCTTATTCTATGAGAATTGTGTACTGCACACCTGCTGGTATGGTCAAGTCAATGGCCGGCCGAATCAGAGACACGAGATCTGGAAATGGTGTGTCTAATGGTAAATCGACGCGGGTTGTGGTCTTGACAGCACCGCCATGAGTCAGGTGTTCGACATTGAGCGTAGTAGAGATGAGGGATTCCATCTCGATAACAAGGTTGGTGATAGTGAACAGCCAGTATTGAATAGGGTGGCGACTTTAGATACTCAAATGCTGTAAGCCTCATGAAACATGCATGGCGACCCAGACACAGCTTTGTGGGTTCTGCGTACCGAAAGGAATTGTATTCCAATCAATGCGCTAGGACCCTAACCAGCCACAGACTCAGGGTGTTATTCGTGTCAGGGACACAGAACAGCATGATAAACAGAATAAAAGAATCCTATGAAATTATTTAGTGTGGGATGCAAATTTGTTTATTATGACATTACGACCGTGTAAGATTCTGCAGAAACTAAAGATGGCGAATGGAGAAAGTTTGAAAGACGAGCTCCCTTTTCCAAACAATATTGAGCTACCCAAACAGGGGAACGAATTTCAGACTGCGCTGTCAATTTAGAAGGTCCTGGCAAAAACGCAGCGGCACAGGAGTAGGCCCGTGGAAAGCTGTAATTTCAAATCGTACTTGACATGCATTGTATGTTGACATGATAAAGGGTTGAATATGCGCGGATTAATCTGGAGTGTGACGTGGAGTGGCAAATTGGAAGGCTTAAATTCGCACGCAGAGAGTCTGTGATGGGTGAAGTTCAGAGAGAAGCACAATAAGCGCTCACTCCGCCAAGCGATTTGGGAAGGTTCATGTATCGAAGCCTGCCTGGGGATATATTCTTGGCCCCTCCGATTAATCTCATATCTTTACATATCGTTTCTAAATCCTTCAGCCTCTCGCGCTTTACGAGAAGGCTATGAGCGGCAACCCCTGCCTAGCCAAGTGTAAGGATGGTAATGGCTGTGTCAGTGGCACGCATATGGGAAGGATCTCAGGACGAAATTTTGTGAGATCTTTATCGTTCGTAGTAAACCTAACTGTATTAAAAAGCGAGCATGTCTATCACATTGGCGTGCATACGTACCTGCTACCCAATAGAAACGCGATTTTGCACTGTTCAAGGTTGCCATAAGTTAGAAGTTCCAGACCGGCAAGCAATCAAACGAAGACTCTCACCTAGAATGAGGTTTCCAGATCGTCAAACCCTATGAGAGTCGTTAGGAAGTTCTCCGCTGCTGGATAAGCTTCAGAAGCCTGTCAATTGGGCGTCTGTCAAAGATCTGCAACAGGTGCATTAATTTTGGCCCCCCAAAAAGCACTACCACCATGACTTTCTGCGACCCTCTCTCAAAAACCACAACAACATCGAACGCCTGAATAACGTATTCATGTGAATACTTCAGAATGACATTAGCGACATCATATACCAGCATCTGCAGAGAAAGTTGGAAAGACAATTGCGCAGAATGCATTGTGTGGAGACTTGGGCGCGTCGGGTGCCATTTCTGGAGATACAATGTTCGGGACATGCACGTAGCAAATCTTGTGTACATAATAGCAGTACGAATATGGGGTAAATACTTGTACAAAATAATTTTGAAGAGACCAGGATTTGGGAAACGTGAAAATACTCAACGACCTTCGCAAGGTCAAGCTCGTCAGTGAGCCAGTGCATGGACCACTGCAGAGATTATTGAGGACGCGGAAGGGGTGATAAGTGACTATGAAGACGAAGATGTGAATAGAGGGAGACAGAAAGTAAGAGAGAGAAAGCATCTTAAAATGGTGGAGGTTGGATATG